ATTCGGATCATGTTGGTTGAACCGACTGATGGCGCTTCTCACTGATGAACGCACAGTATTATTTCCAACTTGCATCGGCATATCTCTGACTGGTACAGCAGCAACCAATCCAATTTTTGGACCTCTTCGGCGTTGACGTCTTGCTAGGTCATCGTTACACTTTAGTACAAATTGGATAAAGCGATCTAGGTCCCATTGACGCCAGTCCGATCTCATGGCTTCAGCTTGAAGAGGTGCGCATAACTTGTTCAGCAAGGCTTGCTTTAGTTGGTGATTGTGAAATGCATTTGGATGTTTCCATCTCCTTCTTAGCATGTGGTAACGCTGTACCGTCTTCTCAAACCACATCACGAGGTCTTCTGCATCTTCGCGGTCCTCGGGCTCACTCAGACTTTGAGCCACTATATCGATCTCATTGCTGTATGGATATAGTTTCTTGGCCAAACGATCTCTAAACTTCGACCACTCGTGGATGTGATGTAATTCATATTTGTTTATGCGGTAGAGTACGTTGTCGTCCGCGACACTTGTGATCACCTGGGGTAACAGATTGACTTCGAATCCTTTCGCACGTGTGAGACGCTCTAATAGGTCCAATTGATCATCGTAGGCCTTCTCATGCCTAGGATTGAATGACTCTTTGATGTTCAGCTCCTTGATGAGCCTTCTGGTCATGTGATGATCGATGTAGGTTCTCGGTTGTTTTGCCTCACGTAACAGGGCCAGTCGGTGTCTGTTGGACTGAAGCGAACTGGTTGACGACTTCCTTGAATATGCGCCGGAAGACATACCAGACTCCGATGAATTGTCCTCATCCGACGAGCTGCTGGAATCGCTCGAGTCAGGATTCGCTTCCTTGACCTCATCCTTGGGTAACTTGTCGTCTGCCGCCCTTGCATCAAGTATACTAGCAATCTTCTCCTGCAGCTCGTTAGACGCCTTCAAAAGTGCTTTCAGCTCCTCATCTCGATCGGAGGCCACTTTCTTAGTCTTGCTGCTTGTAGATCCCCGTACGCTAAACTTCGACTCGCTTGGCATTTGTTGCAATTTTATTGGATATGCAAAATCGTTTTATTCGAAAACGTAAGGTTGAACTCAAAATTATGGTTAAAAATTTCTGGTTTGCAATTAAGTGCGTGTGGAGACTGTCTCCCTTGGGACAGCACACACGCACACATCGTGTATAGAATTTCGGTACATTTGATAACAGACCGACTTGATAATTAACCGACTTGACTGTAATGTATTGTGTACTTAATAGGGTACTTCGTATCCAAACGTAAAGGAAGTTTGTCTTGGCCTCCAGGAAGACCAATGAATTAGTTGTCACGGCTTACCGGCCCTACAAAAGCACGAGCCGTAGACATCATGTGTTCTTTGGTTGACCGTTATAGGTCCAATGGCAACGGATTGCAGTATTGCATGGCCTATTCGCTGTACAGTCAATAACATTACATTCACTTCGTCACTTTGTTATAGTTCGACTTGAACATCATTTTGTCAACGATTTTCTATTCACAATATATCCTGGTGTCATTCTTTGATACCGTACACTGGTTGAAATGACACCAGTTTTAGCCGAATAACTATCGTCAAGTCCTTAAATCACCATGTTGAGCAAAATAAATAACAAGTATCGTCAAGTTGATGAATGTTGACGAGAGCTCAGATGAGCTAACAGGCACCACCAGGAGTGGAGCTTGCGGCTTAATTCGACTCAACGCGTGAAATTTTACCAGGTCCGGACATAGTTATGATTGACAAACTAAAAGATTTTTCTAAATTCTATGGGTGGTGGTGCATGGCC